GGATCCCCAAATTATTTACTGGTGTGATGCATATATAGACCACCTCATGCAGATACTAAGTTTGACAGATTACTAAAAAACATATTTTCCATTGCTTCGCACCAACCGCATACTTTTAAAATCATCGGAGGTGATTTTAATCTGCCAAAAATTACATAGGGCTTGACTCCGGTACCAGGTCGATATAACAAGCTAGTTGAAACACTAGAAATTTGTGGATGGGTTCAACAGGTCCGAAAACCAACCAGGGAGAATAATACACTTGATTTGATGTTCACAATCAACATAGACTCTATCTCAGTGCATACCAGTCATGAGTTTTTTATGAGTGACCATAGAGTTGTATTGAGTATTATTCACTTTTTAAACGCCATACAATTGAACTTTAAAGCTTTAATGACGTACCAGAGCAGACATTTTGATCAACAAACCTGCAAACGAACTGGAACTCTCATTCAGTGTTTACCATGGGAAACTTATTTTACCACAAATAATGTTTACATTGCGCTTTCCATTGCTCTTTCTCCTTTTTATCAATGATGTGTGTTCCCTCTTTCAGTATGGTAAGCCTTTCCTTTTTGCTAATGACCTGAAAGTAGTTTATTCATTCTCTTCTCCCATGAAAGAAAGACATATTTCAGCGGTAATCCAAGAAGAAATAAACAAGTTGTACGAATGGACTATTTCGTGGAATATGCCACTTAATGTTGACAAAAGTGGATTTATTCACATTGGTCGCTGTCTTAACTTAAATCTGACTGTACAGACACATACACTCAAACTTCTGAACACTGTTCGTGACCTGGGTTTAAGATATAGCAACAGTCTGAACTTTTTTGAAAACATTATATCTCAAGTATCCAAAGCTGGAAAGCTCATCGGATTGATAATGATAAACTTCAATAATATCGAATCGAGATTGTTACTGTACAAAAAATGTATCTTACCCATTCTTGAATATGGTATTTTAGTTTACAGTAATTGTAGACATAATGATCTGATTAGAATTGAAGGTGTTCGAAGAAAGTTCACCAAAGCTGTTCTGGAGTATTCCGAAAACAAAACTATCATCAAAGATGTCAACAACTCAACTTAGAACCTCTTTGGATCATACGTATCAAATTAAATCTTGTCTTTATCTACCGGCTCATTAACGGTATTTCTTACTCATCGGTATCCACCCCTTCATACCTTATGATATCATCCCACAATCTACGCAATAAGGAGAATATTCTAGCGATTCCAAGAACCCACACAAACTTACGTCAGAATTTTTTCCTTATTCGCTACTCAACCATGTGGAACAGACTGCCAGTGAACCTCCGTTGCAGTGAAACTACAACCCGGTTCAAAAGTCTCCTTGACGATTTTCTTTCCGAAATTGGATTATGTCACCTATTGAATATCAATGTATTCAATAATGATTTATACGAACAAGGTCCCCCCAGTGATCAATCAATTGTGACAAACAAGGTCCGTCATCTATTTAATTGCTTGAAAGCAAAATAAAACTATTAAATCTTTTCACGTCTATTTTATTTTATTTCTATTTATCTTAATATATGAAGTCTGCTTATGTTCGTGTTTATCATTATTACCGTTATTAATATCATTATTAATTCCCCAACACATTAGATATTCTCTTTATCTCTTCTTATCCTTCTAAACATATTTAACTCCAGATTGTCCTTTGAAATCATTTTGACTTTCATATCATCAATCTTAATTATTATTGCACAAATATTTATACTAATATCCGGTTTCATTCTGTATACTATTACATAAATCTAAATGTATTCATCCGAGTGCTTTAAAGGATTTTTATTTTTTATTTTTTCAATTGCTGGTTTCCTTCTGAGGTTGATATTCATTACACAATTATTATTCTTATCATGGATGAACCTTTTCACTAGGTGTTCACTTCTTTTCTCTCTCTTCTTCCCTTCTAAATAAATCTTATTCTTAAGATTACGAAGTTTGTAATCAAAACAATAACTTGAGTTACATTTAAATTAGCTTCTCTGATTTGTTTTATCTTCACTATGCATATATGACTCATACAGAGTGATATTTTATTATCCTTTTCACTTAATTGTGACTTTCATAGCATCACTCTAAACTATAACTGCACAAACATTTATTCTAGTGTCATATCTTACTACAATGAAAAATTATTTTTTGTTACTAATTAAACGATACACACATAGTCGTTTATTCTTGTTCTGTGTTTATTAACACGCCTATTCCACTGTTTGCGTATTTCACGTCTCCTTGATTTCTATTCCCTTATTTTCTCAATTTCCTTCTTTAAACTGAATTCAATATTCTTCTCAATAACACAGACCCGATTTATTATTTTTAATATTCTACTATTATTATTCTAAATTTTTTTAAATATGTCGAGTATAATGCTAACATTATTGAAAATTGTGTATCATAGCATTTTCTGAAGAAACCCGAAATGGTTTCTTCACAACACTTATGTACCCATAAGATGTTTGTGAATAATAATAATAATAATAATAATAATAATAATAATAATAATAATAAATGTTCCTTAGGCTCATTTAAAACTCCAGATGCTCGTTTCGACCATGTTCATCTGGATTTGGTAGGACCTTTACCAGATTCAAATGGGTACTCTTACCTCTTAACCTGTGTAGATCGTTTCTCTCGATGGCCAGAAGCAGTACCTATCAAGGACATCACTGCTGAAACAGTGGTCCGCATCTTCGTCGAATGATGGGTAGCAAACTTTGGTTGCCCTTCAACCATCACTACAGACCGCGGACGTCAGTTTGAATCTGAACATTTCCGTCGTCTGACCACACTATTAGGAAGCACTCGCTTCCGAACGACCGCCTACCATCCACAAGCAAACGGGTTGTTAGAACTTTTTCACCGACAACTAAAAGCTTCAATATCAGATACAAACGTTTCACAGTGGACCGACGCTCTTCCATTCGTCTTACTAGGTATCCGCAATGCAGTGAAAGCTGACATTGGATACACTGCGGCTCAACTCGTTTACAGAACGACATTTCGACTTCCAGGAGAATTCGTGGATCCTTCACCCTCTTCAATGAACATGGATCTAACCTCCTACACGAACAGGCTTACAAACGCAATGTGTTCAGTTAAACCTGCTTCCGCACGACCACAATCCACCGATGTTTTCATTCAACCTGACTTACAATATAGTACACATGTTTTCGTTCGTCGAGACGCACTTCGACGACCATTCGAATGAGCATACGAAGGACTTTTCAAAGTTCTTCAACGTTAATCTAAGTGCTATATAGTCGATAAGAACGGAACAAACGATAGCATCAGCATCGATCGCTTAAAAGCAGCGTATTTAGAAGGAAATCCTATTCACGTCGATTTCCCTTTGGTACAATCGCACAACACGACTCCTACACTTATAATTCCTCAACCAACAACCAACACTAGCGATGACACTCCGAATGTGTCTGAAAATAAACTTAAAACGACACGTTCTGGAAAAAGAGTAAGATTTCCAGAACATTTAAACGACATTTTATATTATCTCGATCTTTCTTTTTACGATATATATTAATTTTTTTGAAAAATACAATTTTAATATGCTCATATAATTATATTTTTATTAAAAAAAACAAAAACATTTTTTAACGCTATTACGTGTGCTTGAGTTTATTTTCCATATTTTTTCGCCGACATTGCGTTTTTACGTACATGCGAGTGTATTTCGACATGCACCTACATTTTCATTTTTCTTTTCCAGGACGGCTGGAAAAGAACGATGCAGTTTACGAGGGGCCGAAATTTTCATTGTACCTTTTCTTTTTTTACTACGTTGTACCTCGGTCCAATATAGTAAGGAAAAACGACCAGACGCTGCTAAATTTAGTAAGCTATCAGAAGAGTGTTTACCAACGACAAACTCGTTGGGTTTAAACTTCTGGCTGGCCACGTCTTAGGGTCATTACAGCCCGACTAGGGGGGAGTGATCTGTAGCGGTAAATAAATCCCCAAGATAAATAGCTCAGTAAGTTTTCGACATTGGGTGCTGACCATATGTTTTAGTGGACTCATCTAGCTGAAGGCGCTCGGTCATGCATCCGCACCAGATCACGTGTGGTAACGCTGTGCTCAACATCTACCGCAATCGCTAGCCAGATCAGATCAGCGATTTCCGATATATTGGTTATCGCCAAATGCACTATTCCGATCTCCTCAACTCTGTCTTTTGATTTCTCTCGGTGAGAACAAAGTATATTAGAAGGTGTTACTGGTAGAAGCGTTGTCAAACACTGAATACCTGTATCATCCTCAATGTCTTTCGAGCCAACCATGCACTGGAAATATTGAAACCCATTTTTGGCCAGTTTGACGGAAGAACTTTCCATCTAGTCTTCAACAGTGTTCTTAGATCGCGTCTGGAGTGTGGAAATATTGTGGGTATTCCCTGACATCAAAATGATAAGAATACACTGCAGTGTATTCGAATGCGAGCCAGGAACCTAGATCGGGGACTCAACTCCGTGCCTCATGAAAAGCACCTCCAATCATTGGATCTTTACTCACTTAAGCACAGAAGTCCCTGACATGATCTTTTAATAACTTTTGGCAGCCAAAAAGTGTCTGCTTTATCCCCCTAAATACCAATCTGTCTCAGTGCCAACACAAAACTTAAGGGTAACACCTGGACACTGAAAATACATCATTACAGGACGAACTGTAAACATACCTTCTACCCTTCAAGAATAATCAACTGCTGAAATTGGCTGCTGATTGAGCTTGTGCAAGAAACCCAGCAGAAGTCATTTGAGAGAAAACTTAACATAACCTTATGGGCTGAAGACAGTTCCTCGCCATAATTTATCAATATTTTTCTCTTTTATTGCTAAATTTTCCTAGGTTCCTACTCGCCGACATCGCTGATCCATCGTTATCAGATACGGTAGTCTGTTAAGCGAATGCTTCTTCTATGCCGTCTAGAACTTTTTGAATTATTTAATGTGACCGAAGGTAATTGCCCCGCGTAGAATAACGTAGTTCAGTACGTCAGCTTTTTTGGTTGTACACATTTTGGAGGCCCTTTAGTTAACTGGTAAGAAGATTTCGAATTGTTTTTACACATGCTTATGTGGGTCCAATCACTACTTAACCCAACCACTTGACTCATTGGGAAATCTTGGTAATCATAAGGATCCCCATAGGAAATGCTGTGTTTTATCAATAATATTTGTCAAGACCAAGTGATTGTCACTCGATGTTGAATGATGTGTGATATGATGAATATACAGTCTAGTTTCGCAAAGCTTTTGCAAGTCCCACACTATCTGGTTATAAACGATAGAACATCACTGGGCGTATACAGCGTACTCTGGACATCATTGTCCAGCGTTCTTTAGAAACACAGGTTTAATCCTACTTATATTCCAAACACACGCATGAGCTTCTGAGGCTACATGGGGAATGCGTAAGCCTATAACTGTTAAATCCATGCATTGAAGGGAAAAGATAGGGATAGTTGCTGAGTTGTAAATGTCAATTTCTCTTCACGAGCTCTACCTAAACGTTAGGAGCTAATATTTTAGATACCGTGTTAATCAAAATGATTCCTGTCATTGTTACAAGAGGATTTTCGCTCTTTCTTGTAGACTGCGATGATCAGGGATCGAGACCAACTAGATAGGATTACATCCAGTCTTCAAATTCTGTTTAAGATCTCATCTAATCTAACCTCTAAAACTAAACCACTATCCTTAAAAAAATCTCGGGGGTTAGTCCATCAGTCCCTGCTTCTCCGCATCGTTTTAGATTACTTATAGCCTTTTCAATCTCTCCAAGAGTTGAACTCACATCAGTTTGCCATTCCGGTTATTCGGAGATAGTGGGTAACTGAAGTGTGGCTGAAGATTAGTTGAGCTGTTCCCTAAAGTGCTCTACCCATCAGTTCAGTCTCCTGAATTGAGAGTGAATAGTAGCTCTGTCGTTTTCCGAAATATTTTCACCAACAAACGGATTTTTAATACCCGTTTCCTTGATGAGTTTGAACAATTGTCTACTGTTACCTATCGCTGATGCCTTTTCATCTCTTCTGCTTTCGTTACCCACGACTACTCACGATCATTACGTAGGCTTTTTTTACCAACCTACGTTTAAGATACCTTCTCTCCTTACCATGTTCTGAACCAGACGGGATGAAATTCCGAGCATCTATCAGTTCTGTAGACGCCGCTGAAGTCCACTGATCTCTTTTCGCCTTTTGATTTAATTCGCTGGTTGCTATCATTACTATTTTCACGACTGTTCGCATAGTGTGTCTAAATGATTCGGTGTGGATATCACCTTCATGGTTGACTAACTACATTTCTGGTCGATTCTGAAATATTTTTCCCATTCTTTCTTATCATCAAGTTGAATTGTGACGAGTTTTCCCACTGTGTATTTTCTGTTTTCTGTAAGACACAGATAAATACGACACAAAATAGGTATAATAAGATTATTAGGTTATTAAAAGATTTGAATACTCCGGGGTAAACGAACAGGCGTTCATTAGGGATAATTCTTTACTTACTTACGCATGTTACTCCCAATGAAGCATAGGCCACTGACCAGCATTCTCCAACTAACTCTGTCCTGGGCCCTCCTTTCCAGTTCTATCCAAGTTTTGTTCATTTTTCTCGTGTCTGTCTTGATTTCTCGGCGTAATGTGTTCTTTGGTCTTCTTCTTTTCCTTTGGCCTTGATTCCATGTGAGGGCTTGCCTTGTGATGCAGTCGGGTGCTTACCTCAATGTGTGTCCAGGGGTAGTTTTTTAGCAAGATTATATTGATACAAATAGTTCTTTTAGGCGATCTCAAAAAATTGCACAGTAAATTAATTACATTTACCAAATGTTATTGATTATAAGGGTTTATGAGTCATATTAAGTGATAAATTAATAAATTAGGGTAATAGTAAACTTGCTTCTTTGAAAGATCGAGCCTTATTAGCCATCTGGATAAAATGTTCCGAATATTATACCTAACTTGTATGAGACCATAGTTGGAATATAGGGTTCCTTTTTTCAATGTAAAGTGGATACACTAGACCGAGCTCAAGGGTTGGGCCCAAAATTGTGTAAGGTCTTTTTAGATTGTCTTATGAATATAGATTGAGACGCGTCATCCTATGTCCATCTTACCATAGGTTAAGGTGCAATTGAATACTAGCTTATTGCATAATTAACGATGTTAATGGTACTATCTTTTTCTTTTGTTTAGGATATCATTTAAGAGAACATACTCAAGAATTTCAAGTATCAAGACTTAATCGTCCGCCCCTAAAGTTTCGTCTTTTGCATCTATTCGTGAATGACTGCAATTCTGTATCAGAACACGTAATATCACTACCTGTTAGTGCGTTGAAAGTGAGATTGAATCTTTACAGTACCACATATCGTGAGGTCTAACATAGGTCAATTGACCTACCCTTACCCTTCAAGACAGTCAAATGGATTGGCTTGGGGGATTATCGTCCATAAAGGGTCAGCTAACAAACATCACCAAAGATCTTTTGGCCGAAGGGACGCGTGAAATTAATGGTTTGTTTTATCTTAAACCAATATCTATCAGCAGATCCTGAAAGTGAATTATCGACTGCACGCACACGTATATGTGAACTTGAATCAGTTGTTGAGACTCAGAAGACAGAAGTTAGCAAACATTACCTTTCTGTGTATTGTTAGATTAACTCTCTTAGGTGTAGGAACGAGGAGCTTGTGGTTCAGCTAGAGTCATTACAGCTGAGGCTCGATCACACAAAGGAACTGTTTATTCAACAATTACGTGAAAAAGATGTATGTTTTCTTCAGTTTGTTTCGGTTTTCTTTGTGTATTTCTATGCTATTCCAATCAAATCTTATGAGTATAGATCTTCAATAACATGTGTACTGCTGGGCAATGTAATTGGTACAGTTGCACTAATTGAATATCCATCTATTTAGGAATTCACATTTTGTGTCTAAATTATGAGATGCAATCATTGCATATATATATATATATATATATATATATATATATATATATATATATATATATATATATATATATATATATATATATTAGTTAACGACATGTTAATATTTAACATATTCAAAGAATGAAAGTTCACAAACAGATAACTTCGTCTAAAAACCCACATGATTTCTAAGTTATATCTCTGTGCTTCTTCCATACCCTAAGATTTCATGTAGTTTCTACGGATTTTGGTACAGCATTCACTACATACATTGGTTGTCGATATGTATACTTTTCATTGTGTATTCCAAATATTAGTAAGAAGTTATATTTAGAGAGTTTGATTGTTCTTGTCAAAATATTGGTTTTTACTGTTCTATTATTATCATCATTAATGAGTAAGGAGTTCCATAGTGGAAGATGGCTTTTTTATGGGATTTAATAACCTAGTTTATAATTACACACCTTTCTGTCGTCTCATGATTGCCTATGTAATAATCTGTCATCTAGTTTTCCCATGTTCACCAAAAACTGTATGTTAATTCTTTAGATTTTAATTTCCAAGTTGCAAGCTGAAGTGTCTAATGAACGTGGGGAACCTGAAGGACAGCCGGAAGCTTCAGTTGGGACTACAAGCTGTCGTATTGACAATAGTGCAACCATATCTGGACTAACGCAGTATCCTGGTGAGTAATTCATATACTTGTTCCAGCAGACATAGTGACTTAATTTACTGAGGCTTTTACATACATGATATAGGGAAAACATGCAAGGGAATTTTAAGAAATCGTGTACCTCACACTCAAAATGGTTAAATTATGCGGAAATACTTATTCTATTCATGTGTTAATGATACAATAACTATTTGCTGTACATGCAATCAAGACCGTTAAATCATCAAATCATCTACTATTAACTTCCTTTAAACTGCGCCGTTATAGTAGTTAGTATCTCAACTAATATCATGGTTATTCCCTTGGAAAATCTTATTTGCCTCATTAACAGTCTGCAGTGTAACCTTTTGAATCCTGGTTGTTGAGCTGATAGTTGCGAGAGCGGACATACGTCTGTTCTATCTTCTTAAAAAGTGTTTCTTATTGTTAGAAGTCTCTGTATTATGGTTTTCAGCCATATGAAGTGTTTGTATTGACAAATCATCAACGAAGTAAAGCTTCATGTACCACACTTTGAGAATCATTTGTTGCTGAAAAATATGTGTTTTCACTTTAATATTACAGTAAAACTTCAAAAGTTCTATATGACTGCTGCCTTTGAATGTAAACTACGATGATTGTTTTACAATTATTAGAGGGTTTCGCATGAGTCGTCCATAGAATTTTTTGATTGGAATAAATTATTTACCTTACGTAACATATTTGTCTCAGGCAACTGGATAGATTTTCAAATAACTCCGTTTATTACTTTCTCTGAGGCAATTAACATCTTTCTCCATTTTCTTAGATCTTGCAAGTGAAGATCATCAGGTTCCGTCAACTGTATCCCATTCAGATGGCACAGTCACTTGGGAAGAATTAAAAAATGAGGTTGTCCAACTTCGTGCAGAATTAACTAAATGGAAGAAAGTTGCCAAAAAAGTGAGGCTTAAATTTTTTCTTTCGCTTTTACCTTCTGATGTTTCCACAATGCAACTGGAAAACAAGTTACTTACTTGCTTAAGCCTGTCACCCTTCTTGGGTCATAGAACACCGATCAAGGTATGATTTTTTCTTGTAATTTGAGGATTCAAAGTTAGGACTTGACTTGTGGTGCAGTTTAATGGCTTGTGGGTAGCTTCTATTATCGAACTTCTTCTTATTCTCCTAGTTTCCTCCTCGGCTAGTAGCTGTTTTATCCTCTGGCACAGTATGTCATTGTTGATAGTCTTTTGCCAATGAATCTGGAGTATCTGACTTTGGTCCTAAGTGACTGTTTATTTGAGTTCCAAATATTCTTTAATTGTAGTAATACCTTCCTTGCTCTGTCATTTCGCGCCCTCACATCTGAACCATATCCTACTTTTCACCTCTCCTAGAGTTTCTCCATCAAGTATGATTTGTCTGGTGCTTACTGTGCTGTTCTTCATGGTCTTGCTTTCTCCCTTGTGAACGCTGAGTCGTACGTTTGTGGAAGCCGTTGCTACACTGGCTGTCTTCGTCTACATTTTTGCTGTATATATGAGAGCAGGACTAAGTCATCTGCCAAGTCCAAATCGTCCAGCTGAGTCCAACGTGTCTAGCCTGTGCTTCTCCTGAGATGTGGAGGTTTTGATAATTCAGTCAAGAACTAGCAGAAAGAGGAAAGATGTGAGTAGACAGTCTTGTTTAACATTAGTCTTCTCTTAGGATGTATATGTGAGCTGCCGTTGATGTGTGATTCCCTCATATGAGTTCTGTATGATAGTGATGGTCTTTTCAGGTACTCCATAGTCTCATATTATCCATACTATAGAATTTATCATAATCAAAAGAGTTGAAATGTGATGAGTCCCATCCACTTACTACGATATTTTTCCGGTATCTTAGTGAGTCATCCATCTTTCTTTTCTGTTGGTACTTGCCCTTCTTCCAGGATTGCAGTTTCCTGTCTACTTGAATTTAATGCTTCAGCTAGTGTACTATTTGGTTTTGTTGCTTTGCCATTCTTACTTAGTCTGATGGCCTTGCTTATTCCTTGTATGGTTGGTAGGGGACTATATATATGGATGTCTGTGTTATTCTAATTCAATTTTTTGGGGGCTCAGCGTGGCTAGTCTTTCCAAGAGCCCTTCAGAACATTCTAACTGCCTGTCCCTCTACTCTTGAACCTCAGTGATTGGTTTACGTTCTTTTTTCTTGGCTATCCGCTATAGTCTGCTATATTTCCATGTGTATGAGGCATTTTCTTTATGACTGTATTTCAGTATCACCTCCCTCGAAGCTAGTCTTGTTTTATCCGAATTGGCTCCACTGAGTTTCGCTTATTGTAAGCCCGGTTAGGTTTTATCTTTTCATTTTTGTGGCTATTTGATTGGCTATCTCCCTGCCTCCCGGATTGTTTAAACGTTTCACGTCACCATGTCTATTGTCATCCTGTTTGTTATAAGAGGATTTGGCCTAGTCACTTCCAGGGATTCCCGACTTTTATCGTGAGGCGTTATAACTGTTCTACATGAGGATCATTCAACGTCTACTCACTGCCTTCTCGTGGTGGGGGTGTTTTTTTTACGAAAATGAGAGGAGGAAAAGCGAATGTCCGGCACTTTAACCGGATTCCAAATCAGTGGTGCACATAGGCTCCAGTATCCTGCGGGAACAAATGGCGTATGAACCAATCGTTGGCTACCATGGGACTGCATCTCCTTACGATGCTCCACTGCCTTGTGGATCAGACCTTCAGGTCGAAGTTTGACTTGATAATTTCGAATAAATTGAACATTTGGTACGTTGTTATGACTAAATTAATATCTTTATACTATTCCAGTATGTGGAAATTAACTTAGATTAATTTCGATTTGGTTATTTATTCTCTGAAGGATTGCACTTAGTCACGAAACGTCATAAAATCTCATTTTTCTACAAATATATTGTTTTATTTAGAACGAATGTAAATGAAACCCGAAGGATATGGTATACCACAATTTCAAGATTTAAATTTTTTAAATAAGTACAGCTGCACAACCGCGAATAATTTTGAACCTTATATATCAGCCTCAGTCTCTCGTTTTGGGTTATGGTTGTTTTGCCAAATGCAACAAGGAATTCTGTATCTCTTTAAACGTCTCAAACAAGTATAAGTGACTTTGTGGATTGATTTCATGTGTTGATTTGACCATCTTTTATATTATTTAGTTAACACACAAACGTTGGTACAAGGAGGAACCAAATAGATATGCGCCACATAACATATTATTATATTCCGCAATCTAACTGACATCTAATATAATTGAACTTAAAGATAGGGTGATTCTCAAGAGATAGTAAATTCTTGCGTTCATCTCATCACTCCTCTAGTTAAAAATTTTCCACAGTGAACACTTACCACTAACCACATGATTCCTAATATATTTTCATGGATCACGTCGCACATCATTTGTTCCAGGCCTTATACAACGCAGCATACACAGTTCCCGGTGTTTGACAGTACTTGTCTCTATCTTGTTTTTTTCTCCCACTAATTTACATCTGAAGAATAGTTTCATCAGTTCAATCTTAAGATTGTTTCCTCCTTTTAACGTCTCGTTTTTCTAGAAAGAAAAATCTTCGGATAACACTTCATCACATCAGTTGTTGAACATAGAGTTAGAAAATCAAATCGAAGTAAGTGGAATTTTTTATTTTTATGTGGATTATAACTTTAGATTTGTTAAATAGTGTTAAAAATAGTATTCCATAAAATGTTTAGAAACGATTTTTATTTACAGTCATTCAACTATACCTCTTGAGCTATTAAAATCTTATTTAATTATAGAATATGTAATAATTTTTGACCCACACGTTTATGCTTTAAATCCTTATTTTAAAAAACCCAACAAAATATGATAAAATTATCCCTTTCCGGTCAAGCTACTGATATTGTTCAAAAACCACTATGAGTTAGATGATTATAAACAGTAGTTTTTAATAATTAACCTAATTACGCCTGTTACCCCTCGTAGAGGAGCGTAGGCCACCCATCGGCATTCTCCATTGAACTCTTCCCTGGGCAATCATTGGCAGTTACCATTCATCCTTTTGGTGTCTACTTCCAATTCCCTCCGCAGTGTATTCTTTGGTCTTCATATTTTCCGTTTCCCTTCAGGATTCCAAGTAAACGCTTGCTTCGTGATTTCCGCTACGTATGTCCTATCCACTTCCAACATGATTTTCTAATTTTCACTTCAGATGGAAGCTGGTTTATTCTCTCCCACAGTCGGGTGTTTCTGATGGTTTCCGGCCAACGGACATTGAGTATCTTGCGTAGACATTTGTTTAGAAATACTTGTACCTTTTTGATGATGATTGCGGTAGTTCTCCAAGTTTCAACTCCGTACAGTAGGACTGTCTTGACGTTCGCATTGAAGTACCTGACTTTGATGTTGGTCGACAGTTGTTTCGAGTCCCATACATTGTCCCACTATAGGAATTCTGCCCTTGCTTTGCCGATCCGTGCCTTTACGTCTGCATCAAATCCTCCACGTTCATCGATGATGCTGACCAGGTACGTGAAATTTTCCACATTTTCTGGGGCTTTTTTGCCGAGTAAGATAAGGTTGGCGCACTCCGTGTGGTATTTGAGAATCTTGGTTTTCTCCTTGTGAATGTTGAGACCTACCGCCGTCAGTCTTGAGTGCTGTTAGAGGTATGAGGGCGGTTATCACTTCCCAGTTGCCCACACTGTGGAAGGGTTCTCCTGGAGGTACCTGAAAAGGAAATAGGATTAGAGGTGGTCTTAGTGACCTGAGAGCCTTATCACAGTGCCCAAGGGACAACTGCTTGAGATCGGTCACACACGACCTTGTTATGGGTAATTTTTGTGTTAGCTCCGTACTTATTGAGACCTTACCACCGGAGACGGATATCCGTGGGATAAGGTGAGGTGTGCATTTTTAGGGTCGACCTTTTCTAACCCCACCCCTCCTTGTGGAAGGCAGCATCGCTGCAGATGCTGGTTGTCTGAAGGAAACACCTTACTGCTGTCACACCTTTGTACAGTCAGCAGTACGACTTCGCCTTCGGACCTTGGATTTGTTGCTTTTAGTCTTACCGCTCTTCAACCGACCTGTCTGATATGGTAGAACCTTGAGGAACAGTTGTTCCAGCCAGTATAGCTCTGTTGCTTCATCATGATAGGCAAGCCCGATCATCACATCAAGGTAGCAACAACGGTCGGGACCTACCGCTGTAAAGGCTGCTGCTACACCGATCGTCTTCATCTGCATTTATTGGTGTTTATGAGATAGAAGGGCTATATCATTTGCGAAGTTCAAATCATCTAATACGTCTTTTTTAAAATATGTATTCTTGATTTTTTTGATTATTCGAAGTAAAGACTTCCTGGATAGATTTGAAGTAACACATGAACACTGTATCATGAAATAATGGGGATTTTTTATTTTATCTATTATTTATTTAACATCCACGTATCCCAATCATTCAATATTTCCCTATATATCCCTTCTTTGATATCCTTGCCATCTATAACTTCGTGTGAAAACCTTCATTAGATTTCATCTATTCGTGAATATTATTTACAGAATTTTGTTTCAATTATATATATGATTTTTTGCATGTGTTTTCTTTAACATTTCTTACCAAGCAATTAAAACGACAAGTCAGTGACCTACAAGAAACACATAGAAATGAAATAGCTGCCGTACAAGAGAGTCATTCAGATCATTTGTCTAATCTTGTGGAACAGTTAAAAGAAACTGAAACTGAAGTGATTAAACTTCAGAAACAGGTAGATGAATTTCAGGACCGCTCAAGTTGTGTTGTCAATCTTAATCAAACTGATCTTGGAAATATTACTTTTAAAACTGATAAATCAGTCTGTACTGATGTCAGTGATTTAACAATGTTTGTTGAAAGTCAAGAAAATTCGAAAAAATCACGTCCTGGTAAAAAGAAGAAGAAGAAACCAAGTGAGTTACACCTCTACTTTTCTCAGTATTTATTTAGATTATTCTCTTAAGCCTATCTTTAACCGTTTTTGTTGTAGACGTTTCTTAGTCGTTATAGATAAGTGTAGAAAAAGGCAATCAAAAGTAGTCTATATTTGTTATGAGAAGTTACAAAGTATTTACATAATACATGTACATAGCCCTCAATGTTCCATTCGCATCTTCCGGTATGCTCTGCCATTTGAATTGTCTTCTCGTCTGGTCTCCAAGTGTTCTGTCGACGCCGTACTTTCGATCTAATGAAACTCTTCACTCCGTCTGATTTGTTGCAACTTCGACGCCACTATCCGCTAAACTACTTACGAATAATCTTGTGAGTAGCCTCCACTGTATAAGCACTACCTATATTTTATTTCTCGAGTGAAGATGCATCTGTAATCGATTTCCTTCGATCAGCAAAAACTCCATTGTTATATACGAAACATTATTTGACCCAAACTGTTAGAAAACGAATTGATGTCAATTTCAAAAGTAACCGAGGGCCTGTAGTTTATAGATTAAAGCATCCTGTACAGAACTGTAAATATTAGTTTTTTGTTTATTCATATTCGTACACGAGACTGTGAGCCACGTCTGCTGCTTAAATGTTAACACCATAACTTAGATGTCACAATTTCTCTGTTTCCCATAGGGTTCAAGTACTAGGTCACTCAGGCAGTTAACTGATGATGTGTTTGAATAATTAATCACCATTTTGTGTGTGAATAATTTCTAATGACATTATTATTACTATTGGTATTAGTATTTGTTCTAGTGGTAATGTGGCGTATGCTACTTATATCTGTCGACATAAGTAGTATGTAACATTAATCGGAAGTGGAATGCCTGGCAACAGAAGGCTAAGAAGGTCGACTTGAAGAAAACAGAAGGGAATCGTGAAGTGAAAGAATCATGATGTGAAGAATAATTGATGAACGATTTGCAAATGAAGTATTTAATATATGGTTTCCACATTTTACGAAAGAATCCTGTAATTTTTCATTAAACAATAAATTGCTTGTCCCCACACAAGTCCCGTTCATTACAGTAGTAGTAGCAGCAATAGTAACATGCATATATTGTATCATTACTTCCTTATTTGTTATTTTCTAATCCAATAGTTTCAAATGTGATTTATGCAATTCATTTAAATTTATTTTACTGTAGCTACTCAATGGGATGCAACAGATATTGCAAAGTCTTCTAAATCAATTTCTTGTGAAATGTCATCCCAGGTAGATCAAGTTTACTTTCATTCAGCCTTAGTTTCAAATCTCGTTCTTTTCATTGTGTTTGTTGATTTTGCATGGTTTGTTCGCACTCTGTCCATAGTACAAAAATGAATGCGAATAACCTGTTCATCGATTGGATTTTATAGTCTGCTTACTACATTTTTCATCTGCCTTTCGGTAGTTAAAGATGATACAGTGTCATTGTTTGCAGCTAAGAAAACACTCTATACGAACTATACAATATATAACTATACTTTTATTATAAAATTATTTACCATTATCCATCAATCATTGTACCAGTGATTTAAATTTATGTTTATGATGCCTACCTACTAACACTTAAATTGAGCAAAAATAATCTAGATAGTCACAAACTTGGCCATTATGATGTTTTAAATTAAGGCGGCTGTTTCAGCGACACTCATTTTAGAGATAAAAAGAACACCGATCTAAGATCCTTCCACTATATCAGTACATTTTTCCATACGCAGAACATGAATCTTACAAATCTTTCCTATGTTTGTTTGGCTAGATCGTTATTCCTATTTGCTATTGTCCTAGTAATGAAAAATCTTAAAATTACTTTTCCATAAACATACTGATTTTTCCCTGTTCAGCTGTTAGGATTTGCTACTTTGTGCTTATGACTAGTTTTGACCATCTTATAGTGCATCATGGTTATTTGGGTTGGTTAAGAGGGATCTTTAGTTCAGTTGACCTTTTAAGGTCTACTGAATAGAAATTTCATTAGACTTTCTGAACAAACCAAATATTGCAAAAGAACGTACGATTCAGCCTAATCAACGGCAACTATTATTCGTGCAATGTATATTGATTGAGCTATGTTGTCGTTAGTTCTTAATTGATTGGAATCAGTTTCAGGTTATATCACCTGTGATTTTCAGCCATTGATTTAGGATGTTTTAAGAATTTTAGACACGGTATCTCCACTTCTCTTACGTCATTAATTATTAACACCATGATTCGTTAACATCTTTTTTAGATCACTCTGATTCGTTTCCTAACTACTTCTACTGCAATTAATGTTACTTTTTGAAGTAATATGAAGTTGATTGTAATTTTCAACATGTCGTATCACAACTTGGTTGCATAAAACTAAAGGAATCCTATTGGGTATTGATAACCGACTCGATGCAGTCTACAGTGAATTAGGTACTAGAATAATGTTTGTAAAGATAAGAATGCTGTCCAGCAACCTATTAGAACCATCTAAATTATAGAAATTTGATTCCAAACCAATTATATCCATTATACATTGGGTTAATGAAGATATGTAATTAGTTGGATGTTATCACTCACATATTTTCTAAATTGGATGGCTTAATTACTAGGTTTTATTGTTGTTGTTGTTGACAGAATCATCAGTGTCTACCTGAAGTTGCTGATGACGTTGCCTATAATTACAATGGAACCTCCCTGATCCAAATATCCTTATCAAATGACACACAATAATTAAAATTCGTTGGTATTCAAGAATCAAGTGGTTGATTTACATCATTTACCAAATAGTTTTGAATTATTACCTTCCTGACACTTGTTTTACTCTAAATGTTAAACATGTACATATGATTATTAGCACTTATATTGATGTATTATATAACTCCTTACTTTATTTGAATTTTTAATAGTACTGATTTGTTGTTGTTGCACAGAATTAACTAATTAACAATAAATAAACTTTAAAATCATTTTCTTATTATTTTATAGACTGATTATAGTCAAATGAAGGATTCATCTGTTCAGTCTGCTGATCAAGTTGAAACAAATGGTAAGCAATGACTATCGGAATTTCATCACATTACTTATATTATTCTAATTAATCAGTGAAATTTGTTTTGTGTTGGCTATTTAATGTGATGCAGAAAATATGTCAGTTATATTTATAGTGATGATGAATTGTATGATACATTGAATTAGGGTTGTTCTCTTATTCCTACTATCTAAATTAAGAACTATGGATTAGTGCTACTTTTGTCGAAATACTTATTATTATCTTTAGTGAACTATAAATCATCATTTACAAATGCATTATTTATCAGTAATACATTTTAGATTAGAGAAACTACTGAATAAAAGTCGTAATCATCAGTCGAACTAATTAATTATTGTGTGGTTCTAATTTTTTCTACACTGATCTAATTCATTTTATTGTTGTGCTGTTCTGAGAAATATTGGTCATATTATATTCTTCAGTAAATTTACATCATTTTACTCAATAAAAAACAATGCATTATATTTAGGAAGGAACTAAACATTTCACTTCCGATTCAGTCATCCACATTACAAGTTACATACACGTCTGTATTCTTATTGATTACTACTTCATTGTTAGTTTTTGTTGGAGAGATCCAGAAAACCTCTCTAAAAAAGCCAACAAAGTCTCTGAAAACGCTCAGAAGTATCCTATCCAATCAGCATTCACTAGGAGTTTTGCCAGAAACATGTAGAAAGTGAAAAGTCACATGTTTCTGATTGGATGAGTACCTATACTGCTACTATGTTTAGTAGCGTTCCAGAATTTTCCGGAAACCTAAGGCCATCTATAATACTATAAAAACCCTAGATTTTCTGTGCATAAACGGACCTTTGAGGTAAAGCATCTCTTCCATACTTCATGCCTTTTCTCTCGTGTTCAAGTTGCTGTGTAGATTTACCCTGGGGGTTACTAGAACGGCTCAGGAACCGAATCTAGTGTTCAATTAGAAGACTTATCAGTTTTCCTGTTTCATAATGTAATCAAACCACAGTAGGAATAAAATATATATTAGGTTTTAAAAAATACTCACTAGTCATACTCTTCTCTTTGAATGATTCTGTCCACAACTGCCTCTGATAAAGTGTTGTGATATGTCAATCAAGCTGACTGTCTATCATATGTAGTCAGTTTAACTTTGGCATTTTTCTTCTAGTGATGTTGTAGATTGGTATTTTAGGATCTATGATGAAATATGTTTAAGAACTGTTAGAATAACAGGTGCGATGGACCTATCGATTCAGTCAGTCATTCAGCTACAACGTAGGACCAGGCACATGTGTGCATCGGTCAAAGTTGCCATACCTCATTAACACAACAAGATGGACACCGGATTCATAAAAGTAGTTAGTTCAGAGGTGGTAATATGTAAAAGAAAGATTGCAATAGTACAGGAAGAAAGAATTAGTTCGTGGAAAGAAAGATATGAAGCCGTAAATTGAAACAGAACGGACTGCCGCGCAGTATACTCGTCCTTTTATTGATAGACGGATATCTCGCCTTCACCATAGGTGACGTAAGTTGGCAAAAGCCATTAGAGTAAAGCCTAATCTAATTGGAAACAATATTGTTCGCTTATATATGTTGTTTTAATTCACAAATTTGGGCTTTTTAAAACTCCAATGTGGTTCATACATTCAGTTTGTAAAATATGTACTTCAGTAATATACATGTTTACTTATTAGATTATATACTGTACATATTTTTTAAGGGCTTTCGATCATAGATTATTTGTTAAACTATTACTCACCCGTCGAATGTTGCAACCAAGAAACTTCAGCTCCCTGTGATTGATTACTTACTGTTTTTGGTCAGCGTTTTTTTCGCGAGTTAGTTTTCTACGGGATGGGGTCGCTAACCCTATGCCCAACCCTCCTCCTTTTCCGGGCTTGGGACCGGCGGTATCCCCAGAGAGGCTCCAGGGGGAGTTTGTGATTGATTAGTGGCCCTTTAATAGTTACTTTTCTCCATATAAATCTAATTAGGCAATAAGATTATAGAATTCATTCATCTAACTTCTCAACGTCTGTGTTGCCCTCAAATTATTGATTGGTAATAGTTATGATTAAAGTTGGAAACTATATTGTTTTTAGTGATCAAGTGCTTTGTGATGTTTTGAGTATCTTTATAAGCATGGTATGGTCTAGGTATCAGAACGTGACACGTATATAGGGTTTTATAATTATCAACAACTTGATGTAAAATTATTAATTAATAAAATTTTATAAATTACACAGTTTCAACCACCCTAGTATAACGAAATTTATCTTGAATTCCTTAATCCTTAAAGTTATTTTGTTTGTGCTGCATTCCTTTTTGTAATTACGAAATTATTGATTCAACAATTTTCCATTCTTGTCATGTCGTTTATTCTTCTCTTTTTCATAGATGCGTTTACTGAAGATTATCTTTATCAATCAAGCAGTTCCACTTCGTAAGTTAGCGTACTCGGTATTCAGTTGAGGTCGTTTCCAGCTATTATTATTTATTAGGGGAGATAAACTCATTTGCCGTACAAAATTGGTTCCAAGAGTTATCATTCTAGCTATGTTTATACTTCCACCCACTCTTGATATGTATATTGTTATTTTCATTATTCATTTTAGACAAACTAAAACAATCTTTTTCATCTAAGAAAGACATTGAATTCAAAAGTAATATTTCACTTTCAGAATCATTGATGCTCAATACGAGTATATTTTCGTAACTGAGATAATGTTTCGTGACAAAGCAATCATGAATAACTTGCTACACATTAGCTAAATAAAAAATTTAGGTACCATAAAACATCCAAACTACGTGCTAGAATAATATTGATGTTTTCCAAATTTCTGACTAGAATTAGTTAAAATGAAAAATCTTTACTATTTTGAAATCTTTGCACTGTGTATGAGAAAGTTTAAGTCATAACTTCCTAAAACCCTATTCTAAGTCTCTGATCCCCAAATATACGCCAAAATATTCCAGAAATATCTACATATTTTTTATTGTACTCTCATCGATATTCCCAGATAATGAGCTCTTCCGTGCTTATTCATCTTCCATGTATCATGGATAGAATATTGGTTTTTGGTCTTTGCATAAAGCTTTTTAAAATGTACAACCCTCACTAAACTTTACACAACACCATGTCTTTACTTTTTACTTTGAATGGTCGGTTTAAACAGGCAATTTGAAAGTGACGAATATATCATTGTACTATGTGAACCATTTATTTTATATAAATGGTTCCATTCTCAAGGCTTACTGCTTGCACAGCTGAGACTTACACTTGGTCACTTCCCATAATCTCTTAGTAAACCTATCTGCATTTCGTTTTTCCTTGTGATACATTTCGCCGAATCTCCGGTTTTCATAAGCAACTAAAAACCTCTATTATAGCGTTTGAAGCTTTAATTGAAGCATAGTAAACCTGGCAGTGATGTCCAAATTATCATAAGCATTTATATAAAAACAAATCTCATTCTACATATAGATTAGTTTGATATTTTCCAATTTTCTTTTCCCTCTAAGTGTTCAAACAGATTCTCTAATTCAATCATTAAGTAAAGAACTGCAAACTGATTCACCATATGAAAATGCAACAACATCAATTCCAACCACGTCAGTTGAAATTCAGTTTTCTTCAACAGATTGTGAAAATGCTCATCATTTAGGAGATATTGACGATGCTTCTAGTAATAATTATCATTTGATATGTTCAAATGAGGCACAACAAACACAATCGTCATTACATAATGTTTTTAGTAAATCACACGAAATAAACGAACTAGTTAACCAACTTACAAATGGAATAAATACTTATCATCGGGTGATATTCGATATGTTAAATCGTAATGGAGTTGAATCATCACAAATCATGTCAGCTTTGTCTCAATCAATATTATTTTCCCAGTCAAATTATGAAACTAATAATGATGTACTTGAAAAGTTAAAATTTTTGATAAACAACATTCAATTTCATCATGAATGTATTACTAAAAACGATGTTCAAAAAGTAAGTCTGTGATAAACTGGTGGTAGTATTGTTGCTAAAAGTTATAAAGTTATTGACAATTAAATTGAGCCACGTTGATAGGTTCAAACTATCTGGTTGGATTTCTAATAGTTAGATACCTCAAGTGGCATGTTGTTCCACACATTTCACTGAAGCAATCCTTTATTGTTTTGCTTACTTCATTATTGTAAACGATTCCATAATAACATGGAAAACTCCTATTTTTACAAATGATAGTAATGATTTTCTTTATAATTCCACACATCTTCAGTATAAATTCACTCAACTAAATATGCATGTTTGAAAGTTTTCGTCTGTATAAATTATAATTTTTCGAATTTAACAAAACTATCAAAATCTATTATGAAGTAATTTCGGTTTTAAAAAAGATTGTATCATTGTATAACTAATGGATTTCATAAATCAAGAATTAATTCCATTTATTATCGGTTTCTTGAACACGACTTGTGAATCGATGATTAAATTAACTTGATTTACAACTATTGGATTGCAAATTTCAACCGTATTTTGATATTAGAAGCGGACAAGGTCACAAAATCCCACTGAAAACGTATTACTGAAATACGAGTACGTAAATATGTACTTGGAAAATAATTCATATATGTGATATACTAGAAATAACATATAAGGGTCACGTGATTTCTATAAAGTATTTATCTGGGTTGTATCTCAGCATTAAAATCTGTCATGCGTTAGAACTCACAAAAGTCTATTTATGATTGATTACAGAACAATTTTTTTGTTATTCATTTCTAGACTGTGAATATGAGCTTATCTGTGCCTGTTTCAAATACACGTTTATCTGGTGAAATAAGTGATTCTACAGAAGTTGAGTTAGATGCTTGGCAAGATGATGATTTCCCTGAATTGAATTCTAATGCTTCAGAAGAAACGAAATGTCAAAGTGAACTTCCTACTGATAATATACCAAATTGCAATGAAAAACTTCAAGATGAGGTATAGTATGCTTTTTCATATTGATGAATATATTAAAAAATATATACACAAGTTTATATCAGGAAACTTTGTCATTGATATTGTACCTATGAACTTAGACGTTGTATCCTCTCATGTCTATATCTAATCAATGTATCACACCCTTGGTTTCATGATAAGTTGTTTTTTCATGTATTCATGTTCAACAAAATACTTAGAAATAGTCTGCCATTAATCATTTACTACTTCTCACGAATCTGATTAGTTCGTCGATACTATTTAAACCTGTGTTAATGTAACTTCGTTATTTTCCCTTTAGAAAAGCTACGTATACTAGATCGCAAAACATTTAAAATCCAATTTTTATACTGAGCTCGATGCTACAAGTATATTATTACTTCTGAATGTCTTTTGAAGATTGTACATCAGTTGTTCAGGGACCGGTAATCTTAAACAAATGTTTCTACCCTCAGTTATCGTCACTCGGTAAAAAATCCAGTTATATTATTCTACATAAGTAGTACTTTAGGTGAATCAGTAATAACAAAATGCGATCTGAATTTTATATATATACTTTCATGCAGAGATCATTATAACACTGAGCAACAATTCCAGGATGTTTGCGATGTGTTTCTCCCTCCCTCTAAATACAAGTTGCTGCTTCAAGACTGGTTTGCATCAACACCTGATCTAAGGTTAGAGAGTGAAGAAGTCGAAAGCGTCGATAATTTCACTTATCTTGGAGGTCTGATCAGCCCTAATGGGTTGCTGTCTGACGAAATCTCTGAGTGGATTCAAAAAGCTCGTTTAGCTTTTGCCAACTTACGTGACCTATGGCGATGGGGAAATATCAGTCCATCAATTAAAAGGACGAGTATATTGCTCAGCAATTCGTTCTGCTCTACTTTACGGCTGCGAAACGTGGCCATTGAGGGTAAACGATACTCGTAAGTTACTATTATTTGGTCACAAATATAATTTTTATATATTCTGAAAATGATAATTACGGGATTCACGCCAGTTTACAGGCATGATCAATTCGATATAAAATAGTAACATTAGACGTACAGAACAAACATGTGATAGAATAAAGTTTTAAGTATACTAGTTCAGTAATTGTTTAGTTAGTACATGTATTACAGCGATCCAATGCATCAGTCGGGAACTTTTAATTTTTCCTAAATGGACAGCATGTCGATTTATGAACGGTGTAATTAAGGTCAATTCGTGTGCCAGATCGAATTAATGATAATTATCTGCAACTAGAGAAATTAAAACGAAAACAGAGAGCACGAAACAACAAAGCAGTAATTACCAAAATATATCAATCAGGTCTACCAAAATGCGTGTTTCATGTGACAGAGTGATATATTGTTGATGTTATTCAAATTAGTTAAACTTGCTAGGGACGGTGTTAACATAAAGTGACAGCAAGTGGGTGGTTTTACTTAGGGAATTCACTAATTAAAATAGCTAAACTTATCTTAGAAATATTGCTGTCATCTACTAGGATCACCGGGTAAATAATAGTGAGGTTAAACGCAGTGTATTAGGGAATGGTGGTAAATCAGTTGATGAGGTTGTGAATTTACATCGACTGAGATGGTTGGGCCACGTATTACACATGTTCAACCACCGATTACCACGACGCGCAATCCTGACTTGTGTTGGAGACGGGTGGAAGAAAGTTGGTATTTGCCAGACCAAAACGTAACATCATTCCATAAAGTCTTTAAGTTTTGGGCTGAGCCATTTCGGTAGATGCAAACTACTTGATTGCGGTCAGCGCAACTATCGTAACCAGGGGTTGGAGACTCTGTTTGACATGTCTCAGAATCGATCACAATGGCGTCGGTGTATACACTCTTTGTTTTCTTTAAAACCATGAGATTAGAATAGCTTTATACTTTTCTTTAAACGAAGTAATTTTTTCTCCTTATATCATATCCTCATACACAATCTTTCTTTTATAAATTACTACCATTAAATTAACTACTTCTATGAATTTGGTGTTAATCTTTTTGTACTAAATAGGTGTGGCAACTTGGACCGATTTATATATGTGCCTCGTCCTACGTTGTAGATGATTGAGGATCAAAATAATCTATTTATGAATAAAATTTATTTTACACGTTATCATCAAGTGTTGATTTTGAAGTAATTATTGACTCATGTAAACGATTATTCATTGTATCTTCGGTAATTTTTCCTTCAGCTCCCATCTTCACCTCATAGTCTGAAGGAGAAAATCCAACAGCTAGAAGAAATGCTTTCAAATAATAGTATCGCGAATGCAAATCGTATAGCTGAACTAGAAAGCCAATTGGAACCATTCAATCGTTTACAAAAGTCTTTAAACACAACTGTTTCGGATTTATTATCACTTCCACCTCCACCTACTTTGCCCAGTCATTTACTCAGCCAACAATCTTCCTGTACCTGGCCACCTACAAGTGTTGAAGATCAACTAGCTCTATTAACTGCTTCTGAGGTTTCTGCTCGTAATGAAATCATTCGTTTGAATGATTCACTTTCGTTGTTTAAAGAAAAATGTAAACGACTAGAATGCGATAACCAACAGTTGTATGACCAGTTGGCTCATTGTGAAAAAAATCTCAAATCATCTAATTCTACAGGGAACTTACAGATTTCGGACGATTTTGTTGAATTAAGCTCTCTGGCTTATCAAATTTGTGTTTCCCTCGATCCTGAGTTTAGTGAAAAAGAATGGAATCCTGATGATTGGGAAATTGAGTTATTTACTCTACTTAAGGTGAGTTTTTTCTACATTTCAAAATAATCTATAAATATACAATGCAAAATAATAAGGTACTTTATATATAATTACCTATCCAGTAGCTAGATTTGAACGACCAAATGTTTAGTCTGGTTTTAGGAAAAATTCATTTTATGTTTAAGTAGTATCACTGTTTGTCTAGCTTATATTTAAAGTTAAGGTTTTTGTACGGATTATTCAATCTAAAGTTATTTTCCTTACGAACTGATATCCGATAAAGATTCATAAAAAACCATTCAATTCTGGTCAACTGTTTTTTGGTTTAGAAATCCTTATTAGCTAACACTTATAACCCTCTAGAGATCGAACCCAAGATTTTTACAATTCAGAGGGGGCCTCGAGGTAGTTTTGGCTAATTTGGAAGGAGAAACTAATAATTTTAACTTGCGACCGTATCGAAAGTGAGGCATATCATCTATGTTATTTGATTATAATCATACTTGATCCGAAACTGATTGAAGTACGAAATGTGTACTGGAACTCGATGACCTACAAATATCATGCTCACCGTCATAATTGAATGTTGATTTTGTTTTGATTTCATATTATTTTACAGTTATTCATCGCTGAGCAGCTTTGGATTTAAACCATACATCTTTTTAGTTATCCCTAGTTTCCTATAGTTCTCTAACTAATCCTGGTGTTTTGATAAAAACGACCTTATGCATTCACCTATTTTTTTCGCACTTAACTCAGTCATTAAATGTATGTGATATTTTAAATAGACAACAGATGTGCAGTTCTTATAACCTAAACATTATAATATTTATGAAAGTGATTTAAGTTTCTTGTATAAAGAATGTATAGATGGATCTTCTGTTTTCAGTATAACACCATGTTCTACTGATATATATATATATATATATATATATATATATATATATATATTCGTCGCTGAAATATTTGTTTTAGATCCTTAGAAGAATAATATATTTTCTTTTTTTTTACTAAAAATCACTCATAGGATCGTCTAGATTCAGAATTAACTGAAACTGATGATCAATCTGAAAGTGTTGTCAAATTGTCTGCTGAAGTTGCAGCACTTCGTGATATTCTGGCGCAGCACACAACATTCCGAACACAAGCAGAACGAGATTTAAAACACTTACTTTTCACAATTCAAAACCAACATGATATGATTGAAAAGTTGCAAATGGAGAAGCAACAGTTGGAAAGTGTCTTGCCAGGCATGGAGTCCAAACTTACACCTATTACTACTACTTTCGTTACCACTGCGTCCGCCGCTACCTCTACTGACCCTCCTGTTATTTCTACTGCTAGTACTAGTACCTCTACAACAACCGACGATGTTGCGAATGATGATACGGAACATAAATTTAAAGCATCATGTATTGATACTGAAACACAAACCTCCCCATTTACTGATAACTCTATTGATGAAATGAATAAGCGCAAAGAAAATTATGAACAATATTGTAAAGAACTAGTCAAATATATTTGTTCTATATACAATGATCATTTGGTCAATTCATCACAAAACTGTGAAACATTTATCGTGTCACCTGACTCTTTTGAACTAACAAATATTTCAAAAGTCTTTTCTTTACTAGAAAAGTTCAGTGTTAAATTTAATGAATATAAAACTAATTCAGATAATTTCCAATCGATGTACAGTACATTAGTGAATAGTTTACAACAGAAGCATGCTGAAAGTCAATTATATCATGAGAGATTACAGCATTCTTTAAATGAATTAAATGAAGTTAGAAAACATCGAGAGGAGGCAGAAATTTTAGTGAATAGTTTACGAGAACAATTAAATGTTAAACAAGTAAGTTTATTTATGAGTCCAGCCAATTTTTCCTTCATAAGTATAAATAATATATATAAAGATAATTGTTTTGGAAAAAGGGATTTAATCAACTAGTTGTTCCCTCTGAACTTTTATTCAACATTTAATCAGTATCCATTCTCGATATTTGCACTATTCGAACATCAGATATTCAGGTCTTCATATATCCAATAATTTATGGATAAATCACAAAAAACGTTTATCAATTCATAGCATAAAAATAATATGCATAGATGATTATCCTCTGTCACTCTGTATCATGTAAAATGTTTCCGTTGATTTTGCCTCAATATTTTAATAATTAGAAATTTATTATTTATAGAATCAGTTTTTAATTACTATAATCGGGTGCCTTATTTACGATAATATCTGCATACTGTTATTCATCCTATCTATCAACATTTATATTGTCTTTCTAAGCAGGGATGTATAGCGGCTAGCAGTGGAATTCAAGATGTGCGTTTTGTCCCATTTTGAACTCATCAACTGGACATCCTTGCATCCCGGAATTGTTTACTCTTAGACTCAAACCTAGTACAATTCACCCCAAACACCAGCGTGTTGTCCACTTAACTACTGAGTCTAGATAGCCTTGTGACTTTATGGCAATGCTGATCTAATCCACACAAGATGGAAATATGCCAAAAGACATTGATCAGTTGAATTTTTAAATAACAATGAGAAAATCCAAACAACCAATATAAATGAATTATATTATCTGTGTGAAAATTATATTTGAAATAATCCAAGCGACTAAAATTCAAATAATTCCAACGCTTCATCCATAATTATTATTCTTTGATAAATTTGATTTTAACTATTACCCTGAAGAAGTCCAGGCGGGTTTGCTGAACGAAACGTCGGGATCATTTAAATTTCAAACACAGGTTATTTCAAATATAATTTTCACATACAATGACTTTCTATACTCGACGCCCAATTTCTGTCAAACTAGTCGCTTTAATATTGACGAATATTCATATATATTATCTTTCGTTCAAAATTTATCCACGGTGTACCGAACTGTTATGTTAACATATCATATACAGCATTTAATAAACTGTGTATCATGGTGAACTACCACTATCACTGTAGTTTTCATAAAGTTAAATCTAGTCTTCAAGCTGAAACACATTGGTAGTTTTGGTGTATGTATCATACCTTATGATGGCTTTTAGTGGATTTTTATTACTAGATCTCCTAATAAAACAAAGAGGTCGAGACACTAATAACGTTCACTTCTCAGTTTATTCAAGTAGGTCTAGTCCAATATTTACATTCCAATACCAATATACCGTTTTTAGACTTCATTCTTCCACTTACTGTTTGATGTCATTATTATTAATTTATCAAGATGGAAGCTGACAATATCGTAAAACAATCTCTGTTAATGAATGAAACTATATCAGCGTCAACTAAATTCGTAGATCAATCGAGTAAAATGAATTTTGAAGAAGAAACATCGAACGAAGAAAAATTAATAGCCGAAATCCAACGCTTACAAGCACATTTAGTTGAGGTGTGTAAAATGATCAGTATATTTTAACAAGATTTGTGCACTAAATTTGGTAACTGTATATTTTTTTATTCTTACTTATTGAAATCAACTTATAATTGTTATGTATACTTGGTTACTGCTTAACTAACTCATTTTTGAAAATAATAAAAATAAGTTGATTATTAACTACATGGCTATGATCAACTTATAATCGCTTCTGACTTCAACTTCATCGAAATCTCACTGCATTCCTACTCTAATTCAAATACACCTCAATTGTTGTTTCTTTCTTTTTGAAAGTATATTCACAGAAATTTGGTAGTCATATCTAATCTTATGGACTCAGGGGGGGGTATTTCGTATCGATTGACGAAACTGCTCGGATTACTAAATTCCAACCTTTGTTTATTCGGAAATTTTATTTTTTCTTACTGATTGTCAATAAAGAAATTCCTCTTTGCAAATCTAAGACTATTTTCATTTGATCATTTTAACTGCCATCATACTTTGTTATTGTGGCCGTTCAAATAGACTATTTTTTGAATTAGATTTACGCAAACATACTAAATATGATTAACAATTGTCTCATAGGCATGTCTCTACTGACCTATAGAAAATATATTAGTTAGGAGTTTTACGTAAGTGGTTTCTGTTAATGCTAGAAACAATGGTTATCTTGCCAAATGTTTCACTCTGTCCATATCCCCTCATTATTTAAAAAAGGGAACATAAAACTTTGTTTTGACTCTCGTTAAATGCACCGTCCTATTGTTTTATTCTTATGTTCATACTAAATAACTACTTAATACAATTACCGTCGGTAACTACTAATAACTTGTCCCCTTTTGAAAGGATAACTATTTGTAGCTTAGGCACTTTATTTTGATTGTGTTACACCCTCAAATTTGGAATGATCTAGTTTATGCAATTTCATTTTTGTTGTACACAACTTCATTAACCACTTAAATTAGGCATTGATTTCGTCTGGAACGACTGTGAAAGCTCTGCAATTAAACTACTCATCTCAGGAAATGCAACACTATTAAAAACTTGCCAAATATTCATTGTTTACCCGTAGAGTTGTTATTAGTTAAAACAATTGATGGGTTGTGTTGCATCATATTGGAGTGGTTTCTTATAAAGTGTGTATTAAGGTTAAAATTCGAAATAGATTTTGAGTTGTAGAAAGTTTTGTTCCCTCCCACTTTTAGTACTGCAAAAAAGGTACAATTCCTAAGGTATGTACAGATTTGTTTGTAAGGTCATAATCTACTCGGATAGGGTACCAGTGCTGTTCAAGTGCTTTGAAGAAACTATGTTTTATGGAATTTAGAACCTCGAATACTTCAAACTTAGAGATACTATGGTTTTGCTTCGGTTATCCACAGAAGAAAACTTTAAAGAAGCATCGCTCTTCAATGAACTAAATGTAACCTTGTTAATATATTCTATCACGTTTCATACTTTTATATATTTTCCACATGTATAAATCAGATGGAAGAATCTTATACCTCTGAAGCTGTTATTGCAGAAATTCGTGAGGTGGAACTTCGTTCACGTTTAAACGAAGTTGAAAAGTCCCTTGCTCAACTGAAAGATTCATGTACTACAACAGATACGCAATTGCAGACAGCTTATTCTGAACGAGACGATGCTTTAAAACATTTGGAGGCTAGTCGACGTGAAGTTCTGGATTTAAAAGAGAGTTTAAAGACTCTACAAACAGTTTTAGATAATTTTCAGCGCAGTAAGTTTAACATGCATCATCTCTTGTTCTTATAATACACTGTATTTGGTCAATAATTGAATTCCTACATGAATGATAATTTACTTTACCATGCTATTTTACCAACTAATTAATGATACATGATGACCTATTTGTTTATGTGATGATTACGTAAGTTAACTGGTAAAAAACTTTTTTTATTAGTTTATTGTTTTTATTTACAAGTCCTGGCTACCTACTCACTTCGTTGTATACAGACAAATGGTAAAGATTACTTATACATTTATGTTTTTAAGAAAACCAAATAAGTATTCACAAATTATTCCCTTTATGACGTCTTCCTATATGTATTTTGCGATATTCATACCGGTCATAAGAGGTTTTCATGTTTCACCTCTATAAAATCACAAAACATATTTCTCCTTATTCGGATTTCCCTTCCACACACGCATATGAACTTCTGTAGTTTCCTATCTCTTCATTATTTGTATTTCAGATAAGTGATACAAAAACAACTCCGTTTGCTCCATATTACTATACATTTCAGACAAATTACTACTTTCAGATGAGCCAACCTTTATTTCTTGCTTTTACCATGCACATTAACGGAAAAGCGATTGTCTGGCACTTTAACCGGAATAAAGTTTACGGAGGATCTACCTAGGGGGATCGGAAAATCATGTTTCTAAACCAACTGTGCACATAAACGTCAGGATCCTGAGAGAACAAATGGCATATGAACCTTTTTGTCGATCGCCAGCTACCATGAGGCTGCATCTCCTAACGTTGCTCCACTACCTTGTAGATTAGACCTTTAGGTCAAAGGCTCGGGTTGTGAACCTCCTACGAAAATCACTTGCTTCAATTTGCGTGACTGGATATTATCCCAGCCCTCAGACAAATCAAACGATGATTTCTACTAAAGAAATCATTTTTGCATCAATTCTCGTTCAGACAAATCACAGTCACGATCATTTGATAATATTCGTTTTTATTTTCCTTATACTACTCCACTTGAATTTTCTTTTATTATCATTTTGCGCATTTCATTTTTAAACTTACACAACAGCTCGCCCATGGCAGAATTCCTGTCTTATCTAAACGACCCCAAGTCACTGACTAGTTGAAAGTTGAATACTACCACCAACTACGGATAGTGAACTCTGACAGACTGCAGCGTGGATGCGACAAACGATGAGCTTTACAACCAGTTGACTGTTCTACAGAAAGTGTGTCCGACAAATATTGTAGTACTAGCCGGAGATTGAATGCTCAGGTCGGGCGTTTAGGCGTAGAAGAGAGTCGTTTAGGTGGCCGATGGAGACTTGTTAGTCAGAGGTCAGATAAAGGTGACCGTTTACTACAACTTTGCGCAGACTACAACCTGTTTCGAACCTACAATAACTACCAGCACAGTTATCACCGATGTGCCACCTGGTGTCCTCCGTCTGCACTTAAGCCTGGACTCAGATTGATCACATCGCGATTGGCTACCACTGGCCTGGTTGTGTAAAAGACTACCGCTGCTTTTGGAGTATGTAGCTGGACTCGGATCATGCCCTTGTTTACTCTAATCTTACCTTACTTTTCAGTGGCCAACGAATTCATCGTCCTAAACCGATCGATGTTAACGAATTGGTTGCAGCTTCTGTCGGAAATAAATATCAAACCTAACAGGGTTCTAGGCTAGCTAGCATCCCACCAAAAAGTATAGATGAGCATGGGTTGCAATCGCATGACGTAATGAAAATGGCGAGTAAAGTTGCATGCGGCTTCGCGAAACGTCCTGCTTATAAGCATTGGGTTTTTTCTGGCTCCTTACAAACCATTGAATGCTGTCGGTCTTCTCACGGGTAACCGTGAGTTTGACCAAAAGCGAAGGCCGTTACGTAATGCAATTGGACAGAGCTTGCATAAGGACCGAGAAGCCTGGTTGTTGGAGCATGCCAATGAGTTGGAAGCAGTAGCTGCATCTGGTAACTGCCGGAAGCTCTTCCAACTCATTCGAACCACTGGCAGTAACGTAAGGAGATGCAGTCCCATGATAGCCGGTGACCAACGATTGGTTCATACGCCAATTGTTCCCTTCAGGATACTGGAGCCAGCCCATGTGCATCATTGGTTTGGAATCAGGGTTTTCCAACTCCCATATGTGGACTCTCCATATCCAACAACCCGGTTAAAGCGCCGGACATTCGCTTTTCGTCCTCTCAATTTCGTAAACAACAGTAATGCCACGAGAGGGTAGTGAGTAGTACTTACATTTCAGAGGCTATATACTTGTGACCATGTGGGGGTGTTTCGAGAGGGAGAGTGGACTCCGTCCACTCTCGGCCGTACCAGGGCATTGCTGACATCCAGTGGCAACACTATGTTAGTTATTCAGAGGTTCGGCATCGTGTGTTCGGGCGCAGAGACGATAATCCAAATGGTGTCAACATCTTGAAACACCGACTCCGGTGGCTTAGATGTCTTTAGAATGTCGTCCCAGAGAACTTCACGTCGTGTATTATTTGCCGACGCTCTGACCGGATGGAAAAACTGGAGAGATAGTCAATGTATGACATGTTGACGTGGTATGAAAAAAAGTTGTACAGGACTGGCATGTATTGATACTTCACAACTCCTTGGTTGGCGTCCTAGACATGGTGCAACACAGTGGCTTAAGAGGTTATCAGACATGGTTCAGGATAGAGGCTAGTGGTGATCCTGTTGTAGTTTTATTTTGCTCTTTTCGTAAAGTGAACGCAACTTGCTTGAATGAAAGTAATTTTCCTGGTTGTATTTTCCTAAGTAAACTGTTACTCCTATTATTATTATTTCACTCTCATACACTAATTTCTGTTCGTTGCTCTGCTTTTTATTATACGCACTTCACATTCTCTATCTCTTCACAACCTCATTGTTATTCTGTGGCGCACATGTATTTAGTGCCCCCTTGTACCAACGTTTATGTGTTCAAATTAATAAATCACCCAAACAAATACTAAATCACAATTCATCCCCTTTGCATAAACCAGTGGCTATCTAGAATCAGTACGTTAGTGGATAAAGCGTTGTCATTTGAAACGAAAGGCAGTGGGTGTGAGTCTCGGTGTAAATATCAATACTGCAATAAAGGTACATCCATCTGACGAGTCCCGAACAGGACAAGACGCTCGTCCTGGATTCCAATTCTACCACCCTTTTCATCCCTGACTAAAAATATTTTAGCATCTAATTACATGATTGTTGTGGCTGTAAGTCCGGCTAGTTATCACTTAATTTATTCCCCAATCGAAATACGATTTATTGACTCTTGTATTGTACTAAAACAATGACGTTCGACCTGTCTGATCAGTCCAGTGTCCTCATTGGTTCTTTGCTCGCTTAGCCCGTACAGTTGGGTCCAGAACACCAGTGACAGCTTCCACTATGCGAATCATTTATTTCAGACATACTTGGTTTATATACCAGCCAAAGAGACCGCATCGCACCATAAAATAGGGAGTAACATTTATACAAAATAAAGTCAAAAGTGGCTGTGAACGTGGGAGAACAGTAAATCGTACAATAATAATCTGTAGGTCAAAATCAAGCTTATAATAAGAGGAATATAGATATACACAGTCTAGTTATTGAATAGTTATACAATAACAATGTATATGAGATATTAGTCCATTGATAGTTCTCGAAAGTTACTCGTAATTTAATCTTCACTAGGATATAACAATGTTCGCAATCCTACAATATTCGATTTTATTTAAACATGTTGGATCGTAGCATCAGTGGCACTTTTGTCAAAGTTGCATGACTCAAATCTTGGAATACATGAACTTTTACATAACTATTTTTATTTACGATGACTTTTAGGATGTATCTTATCTAATATCTTTTTTTGTTCACTATACCTTTTCTCATTTTATAATAATAGATCAGGAAGCTACTCTTCTAGCTGAAACGGAACATCTTCGAGCTGAACTTAATCGAACTATTCAAAAAGAAATGGCTACAAAACAAGAGATGGAACAATTAAATAAATCAATTATCAAATATCAAGAATTAGCCAATGAATTAAATCAAATGAAAAATGTTAATCAACAATTACGTGAACAAATCCTTCGACTTGAAACAAAAGGTTAACAGTGATATTAAATTGTTTTATTTAAATATGTGTATTATGATCAAAATTACATTTCATTTTCTTGAAAAATGTTATTACTCTAGTTTAACTGTTCCATCATAAAAGTGGATAAGTTTGTCTTATCCTATGAATCTAATGTTCTGTAATTTTACTCAATAAATCCGCGAAATTTAATTTTGTTCCACGGTAAAAAGCTCTCTAAAGAATATTTCAGTGAAAATCATTTGTTGTTGATCCGTTAATTGATAACATTAACCTAATAGTGTATATACATATTTACCTTATAACATTAATAGGTTTTGAAATCAAGATTAACAATTTATTATTAAAAATGTAAACATGCACATACCCAAATGATCTTCCAGAGAATCTATCCGTACTTAAATCAGATATCAGAACATGTAGAAGATATTTCCAGGAATGATTCCATTTAGTTTCTGTTAGAACATGGTGTTGTTTATTCATTTTACTTGAATATCAGTAGAGTGGCTGTTTGAAGATGACAACAATGAAACATGTCATAATCCGCTACATAAAATTCGAAATAAATAAATGAATTTTAAAAGCTTCATTCTGTCTAGTTCATTAATCTTATGAAAATAATAGTTCTCATTAGTAATGAACATTGAATACATTATTATAATGCAGTCGTTACTGTTTATTAACATCCATTTAACACTTAAACTCAAATCACTCTAAAGAAGATTCTAATGAACAGATCATCCGGTAAATTCATGGGCACTGATGCATTTTATTGAAAAGTGAATCCAATAGTAAAGGGAGTACTTAAGGTTTGTTTAGCTGATGTTCATTTATCCCTTGCTTTTCAGTCAGTCAATAATAAAATGATTAAGAAACTAGTGATGGTAAACCAAGGTTCATTATAAGGAATATGAATTCCTGACCAGTAGTGATATTCTACCGTACAAATTTAGGATCTATTGCGATAATATAAAAGTAATGGGACTTTGTTGTATATTCGATATCAGAACATGAAACGGCTTCATTATTTAGCGTAGACTGATAATCTCTAATGTATAAAATAATACTGTACAAAAATGTCTCACTATTTGAAGCCCTTCTCTAAATTGTTTTTTTCAAAAATCTTTTAGTTAAAAATCGTGATACAGAAAATAATGGACTTCGTGATCGTCTTGCTAAAATGGCTGTAGATACAGATGCACGAATTGATAAGTACGATATGAACTTTTTCTGTTTTTGTTTCTTTACTATGAATTATGTGTTACTTTGTGAAATTGTATGTGTTGATTATTTGTCTACATTTCAAGTTGATAGATTTTTCAAAAGACATAAGTTAATATGTTCAAAGTATTTATGATCTTTTACATATCCATACATTGCGCAAGAGGATTTTAGTCTTGGTATGCGAATTTGCTTTAACAGTGTAATTGATAAATGAAGTGTATTGTATTGTGATAATATTATCTATGATCAGTCAATTAGTAAAAACAGATACAATTGAATATATTCTATATAATTTAACAATTAAGACCATAATTAACTTATCCCATTATTTTACTCGTCATTGATATCTTGTCCTTAAGAAAACAGTTGGTTAAATGTATTTTAGTCTATAGCCATACTATTTATTTATTTTAACGCATAGATATTGGTACAAGTAGGCACCAAATACATATGCACCACACAAATCTCTTTTGATATGCGTTAGGGCTGTGATACTCCTCGGGTGCCAAAATCGAAGTAGGTGATTTTCTTACAGGGCCACACTCGGAACCTTCGACCTGAACGTCTGATCCACAAGGCAGTGGAGAAACGTAAGGAGATGCAGTCCCATGATAGCCGGTGACCAACGATTGGTTCATACGCCATTTTTTCCTTCAGGATACTGGAGCCAGCCCATGTGCACCATTGGTTTGGAATCAGGGTTTTCCAACTCCCCTAGGTGGACTCTCCATACCCAACAACCCGGTTAAAGCGCCGGACATCCGCTTTTTGTTCTCTCAATTTCGTAAACAACAGTAATGCCACGAGAGGGTGGTGAGTAGGACTTCCCTTGCAGAGGCTATATACTTGTGACCATGTGAGAGTATTTCGAGATGGAGAGCTGACTCTTCCCACTCTCGGCCGTACCAGGGCATTTGGGGGCATAACATAATGCTTCCCGATAGATTACATACAATGTTGTTTGCTGAATTCTTTATATAATTGTTTTGATGTACATGTTCGCTTTATAGTACTACAACAAATGATTATATTTGATGTTCAATTATAGGTCGCATATACCAGATACCAAACGTTATATAAATTACTTTTTTATAATATATATCTATATATGGTACAACAATAAAAATCCTTTAAAATATTCTTCATTACCTCCTTTAGAGTATTAATTAAGAACTTGCTACTTAGCTACTTGCAGTTACCTGCAAATCAACGTAGCAGTGCTATTCGGGTTATCGGAAGCTTGTTGGAATTTTCAGATGAGGATTACGTGAAAGTTAGTTTCTGCATACTCCCTTTAATTCGTATGATATTTTATTTCCGATATTCAACATGTAGCTTTTCTAACTATAATGATGATAAGAACATTGTAAATATGTTTGTACACAACATTTTTATATCTAATCATTTATTTTTGGTGCATCATATATAGGTCTTCTAGACAGTATATGACTTGCTAGATTAACTCGAGACAGGTGACAACCATCTACTCCAAAGCACGTGATACTGGCTGTTGGAAGAAATTGAGTGCACTCAGACCAATATTTATCACCAGTCTGTAAAGTTAGTAACTGTTGAACTGAGCTGTAGGACCATACCAAATACTTAGAGTTAGCATTATTATCGTAAATAATGGTTGGTGATATCAGATGACTTGTTTCAAAATCCACCACATTTTTTTAGTTTAACGGACAACAACTATTATTACTTGTTACTTAATTTTATCTGTTTCTCCTTTTTTTGACAACAGCAATATTTTAAGTTGTAGTCATACTGTACATTTAATAATTTTGAGTTAGTGTTAAAACTGTTTAAATTGTATGCTTAACGCTTGATAATATATACCTTATATCACCTTACTTTTTTGCATAGATTGGCAATGAATCTGGCACATTACCTAAACTAATGAAATGGGTTCGAACCACTGTATCTAATTTACCTAGTGGACCCCCAAAAGATGTTCTACTTTCATCGAATAATAACGATAAGGTTAGTTATGACTTAATTTGATAATTTTTGCTGTTGCACATAATAAAATTGTTTTATTCCTATTTATTTCACTAAATTTTCATTCATTAGTTATAATATATGTGTATACGTAATTATGATGTTATCACTCTATGTTACCTATATGTACTTTAAGAAATTCTGTTATAACTTGTGGCCTGTGTGCCATGTTAATGTATACATAATGACACTTCCGATTAGAGAACAGTGATTTATCGACCGAACCACTGACGCATAAAACCCGTGCGAGCAGTCTAGAGTCCTTATCGGGTCCTACTTCCTGTCTAACCCAGCCAGTTAAGTCCAGAACACCAATATCAGCCTCTGCGATATAAATCATTTATTTCAAGCATACTGGGTTTATATACCAATCAGACAGACCACATCGTACTATAAAATGGAAAATAACATTTGTACAAGATTTAACCAGATGTGGCTGTGAATGTGGGAGGTAGTAATTAATAGACAGGGCATAATTCAAGAATGGTAGATCGTAGAATAATAGTTCATAGATCAAAATTAAGCTCATAATAAGAGGAACATGAATATGTATAGTTTAGTTATTTAACAATTATACGATAAAAATATATGCATAGTATTGCTCTATAATGAATCCCAAAAGTTACCATTCATTGTGCTTATCATGACATAACATTCTCTATGTTTCAATGTTACATCATCAAGTACTTTCTTAAAAAGTCAGACTTTCTGTCAACTACTGCAAAGTTGCTGTAGGATAATTAAATTTTCAGTAAAACTGTGTGTACATTCGTTTCATTTCTCATAACTTTATCACACAACACAGTAACTGATTATGTCGACTCAACATCAACCACTGCTGAATTATAAAATAAATAATTTAGGAAATTCTAATACTTTCTATTTTGCTAACTGTACGTTTCTCAAAAAGTGTAAAAATACACTACACTCAGTTGTAATCATAACAGAGCTAATTGTTACTATTTTAATATGTTTGTTTAAATTTGATAGAAATTCCATGAAGTAGTTATGTATAGCTGTCATAGTAGGATATTTTTGTGATAATTATTCATAAATATCAGAAGGGGTTTTGTGGAGATTGTAGTAATTTAAACAGTTGAGATCATAAATCAATTGAAGCTAGACCACTATGAAAAACCTAGAAGCACTGGATGGCCGTTTCGTCCCATTGTGTGACTCCTCAGCAGTGCGCATCCACGACTCGTAAAACAATATTTTAGATCATTTTTCCGTACAAGGAAAATTTATGTTGAAAATCTCTTTGAAACTAATGCTATTAACTCTCATTATTATTATTCAGTTAGAAGTAGTAAATCACCATGTACATATAAAGTGACATGAATAGAAAACCTGATTTCATTACCAACTAGTCAATCCGTGAAGTATAAACTGAAAATAAAACTTCCTAATAGTATTAGACATTTGAATGTTTTTTTCCTCAAATAATTTAGTTAGGTATTATAAGTAATATAGCTAAACGTAAATTTTACGAATTTCTTTCTGTTAAACGGGTGTTCACTTTATTCATTCTCTTTGTTTTTTAAACCGTCACTCTTGGTATATTGGTTATTTTCATATTTCCTTTGCTAAATAAAACATACATATCAGATGATTAGTTTATAATGTAGTTCTGAAGACATGTGTGTATTAGTGGATTGGAAAAAAAGTCATTTGAAATTCGTGATTTCCACTACTTTTTTGCATTTATATTTGTATATGGAATCTTCAATGGGTTTTTCACTCGATAATTCCTTATTAGTTTTAATTGGTCAATCAGTTCTTTTTTTAAAAAGAAGAAAGCTTATAAATAAACAATGTGTAGGTAGATAGATTGATTAGATTTCCCAGTTATAGTCTTCTTGGATAAATCACTCTCGTATCACAGTGGGTGCTAATCACAATCCGATATTCATTTATACATCTGTATATGATTAGTGGTACGTATTTTCATTAAATTCAATTTATATTCTCACTAACAAAAAAAGGTCTATTATAATTAGTCGGAAAGTAGAGAGATCGATTAAAAATACTTTCAAGATACAACTAAGGTTATAATCAAGGGTAATTCTTCGGAGTTTAACATTAATGTCACCATATTTGGCAACTATTTGATGTACAGTGGATGGTGTCGATATTTTACGTAAGTTACACGCGAATGCTACTTTTTTTAAAATGACAATCAACGTCATCAGTATTTTGATGCTTTAAACTCAGACATTTTACAATCAACTTATTATCTTGTATTTTCTCAAATATATGTATCTTACAGACATAGCTTATTCATGAAATCCCGCTAACATGCATTATACATTGACATCTTTTATCATATCTAGACTATTTTTGAGTTATTTTTCAAGGTTATCTCCTACTGTATTTCAGTATCGAGATATTGGTTTTGAGTTCATTATTATTATAACTGCCTCAAGTGTTAGAATATAACACAACAGTCAGGCACGATGGGTTCAAATGTGAACACAATATTAAAAGTGCTCAAACAACTCTCTGTTTAAATCATTTTAAAACTGATAATTTTTAACTTTCTGACCATTCAGGTTAGTTTATGAGAGAACCTCGTGAGCATCTTACTGGGGCAGAGTGATTGACTAAGTCACCCACAACGATACATAAATGATGAGTTTTGCTGCGATTTCAATAAGCAGGATGAAACATCAGCATCATAGTAAATGTGAAAAGGTTCGAAAATGAGTATTTCACTATTATGACCCACTCTACACCATACATATCGTTTTCACAATGAAGGCGACTCACAAAGAAGGATTCTATTATACTATATTCTGTTGATGAAACATAATCACTGAGACAGTCATATTCTTTAGCTAAATCTTTTACAACTACCGTTTCAATCGTACTAGGGTGACGTAGATTTTTCAAGACTTCCTTACAGTTTGCTCACAGGTTTAGTATGGATGTTACCTTATTCATTTCGTTTTGTACTGGTTTCCTGGTTTCAAATGACTGTTTTTGGTTGGCCTTTGAGTACTTTTTATACATATTACTTCCAACCGTTTTCATTATCATAGTATCTGTTGTTCACTTGACAATTACTGACTGTAAGTGTAGGTTGTGCTGGGGTATATATACTAAGAATGTAGGTCGTCTGTAGACTGAACTATTATATTTAGATTACACATGGCCTCAGTTCTTGTAGACCTTTTAATAACAAAAAGAATTATGTAAAACGACCTGTCGAAAACCCAGTTACATGATTACTCTTGATAATTTCACTAGTAATGAGTCAGTGTTCTTAAGTTTCTTCAAATTCGAATTAACTACTCAATCTTTACCTACATAAGTGTAGTTTGTCCCGGTAGAAAGTATTTTTAGGTCGTATGGGAATGATTTCATCATTTAAGGCATAATAGCTTAACACAATTGTTTTTCACCTACCTTATCTACTCAGCAAGATTTTTCTACACTAAAAACTAAATAAAATTATTGACATCTTATCGGTGTAACATCCCAAGTTCCCTTTATATTACATTATCAATGTTACTTTTGTTTATCGAAGACTCAATAAAAACCATGACATTTTTCTGTTCACTTAGACTTTCACAGAATTGTTACTGGCCTTTCTGGAAGAAGAATCATCTCCTCGATCACCAATTAAGCTGCCTATGGATTATTATACACCTGATATGGTCAGTTCAACGAATAATTCCAGAAAGCAGGTGAATACAAGTGGTACGGAAGATGAGAAGTATCCTGTTAGCAAAATTATAACAGGTTCTACTTCACTATCTAATCCTCCTAAATCCGATAATGATTCAAACTTATTAGATCATAAACCGGTTTTCTATATGCTTTAACAATGATTACATATTTCTCACTTATTTCCTTTGATTTTTTTCCTTGAGCTGTGATTGTAAAATTTCCATTCTCTTCTACCAGAATTTTCATTTGATTTCAATTTTTTATTTGTTTACCTTTCACACAATATTTCGATGCACCACCATTCCGGGTAAATTTCAATAATATATTCATTTTGTTGTTATGCATTGTGACAACGTAATTCTATATAAAATAAGTATTACGGTTGTAAATCACTTCTCCAATTAAGTATTAGTTGACTATGGTAATAATAAATTATTAGACGATTATTATTTAGGTCAATCACGATCTGCCTTTGACATGAGTTAGTTTGTTAGTTCTAACCTCGAATATCATTGTAGTGATATCGCGTATCATCATTTACTACAATATCAGTTGAATTTCCGTGGCATAGTTATGTAAGTGAATGCGAACGATGACCTTTATGTAACCTAAAAACAACTATCTTCGACGTACCCAAGGCCAAGTTACAAAACCATTTAACCGTCCAAGAAGCCTAAATAAACGACATTCCTAGTTAGGAATAAATCATAACTACTGTTAAGGTTCGCTAAACATAATTAAAATTAACACCTGACAACGATTCTACTCTATTAATGTCAAACAAATATGCTTTTAGAGTTGAACCCATTTAACGGACTAGGTCTTGATTACGTTTCATAGTTGAATTCTTCAAATAATCGAATTTTATGTTAAAGTGCGCACTAATTCGAGTTTATCTTCAAATTTTCTTTCCGTGTGTGAACTATTTTCTGGTAGGATAGGGCTTTCTATCACTTATAAGTGCGAATTTTACTTTTAATCTACTCGCTTGATTCGTCCGTTAACAAAGCTTGGTTGATTCATTTCTATGTGGTCTATACTGTTATTATAAATTCCAATTTGATGGATAAGGTAATGGTGGCCTTACAATCAACGGACATTTTATGCAACACTAGTTTGATCTGAGTACATCTACTTATCAATTAACAGCGCTTTAATAAATGTCCTGATACTCAACTTGCTATATATGCAAACTTATTTAAACAACCAGTCGAAAATGTTTTGAAATGACAATAAGGGACTTTATGACCGATTCGCAAAGAAATATTAAGACTGAATCAATATGATATGGTATCACAGAGATCTAGGGAATTAACATTTAATAGCTTTTTTTGACCGATGACATGCTGCTTCGCCCATCAATTTGGATATTTAGTGATTGTGTGTCCAATATGTTTACTATTTGCTGGAAGATTTTGAGAGTTGTGTTTTTGATTGTAACTGCCTGCCAAGCAATGTAGAAATATTTTAAGATAACAACTGGACAAGTAAGTTTGAAATTTAGATTCGTCGATCTTGCCCGAATAAATTTAATCCCAAACTGATAACAGCCATGTAAATGTTAGCTTACTGTAATTAATTTAACTCACAAAATACTACCCACATTGTTACTGTGAGGTTGGAATATAATAATCATTTTGTCGATTTTACTTAGTCTTGTAAAGTCACTCCACAGGTTGATTTTCACTACACTTCTTTTCACATAAAATTAACTGTAAACAGTTTATTATGAATTAAAACCACCTCAAAGAATACTAGAAACCATAACTATAAAATCTTTTCTGATTATGTAATCCTACACCTTATACCGTTTATGGTACCTAAATTACCGGTTAAAAAATACAGATAGTTGGATCAGAATCTAATGTTACTGATGTGCTTCCTGTAAAATCAAAACATTTTTGGTATGATTTCATATTTTCGAGAGCATGATCTACTTAGAAGTCTCACACTGGGAAGAACTAGTCGGTACCTCTCTGTATGAAAAGTTTGAAGACGATTTCCCTCATCTTCTTTGCTCAACAACCGTTGAAATGACATGGGACGACAGTCGTTCTTTCAAACATCTGAGTAATCTCTATGAGAATAAAAAGGTGGTTGGTTTGTTTGCATGTTATTGAAAAGGTAACAAAAGTACAGTCATTCCTCACCACTGGATGAATCACTAGAGGAATTAGATGACATTTCCGTACACTCTGTGTCTGTGTGTTTCCTATGTGCACGTTTGGAATGTGGTCGAGATGTTTTACTGTTCGGCATAAAACCGGGATGTGTATCACTATGTGGATACTGCATATGTTGCGATCCAGAGGAATTCGGAGATGAAGGAAATGCTTGTCGATTTCCAGAATTAGATGGTCGAGGTAGAACACCACTTGGCCGGAAAGACGTGGCCTGACTTGCTTGCATTTGACCGCTTCCTGGCTTAAGAGGAGGTGGAGGCAATGTGGTGTTACGAGAATGTTGATCCATTATATTTGTACCAGTAAGCATAGCAGCTAGTGAAGTCGAAGGCGGTCGAGAAGCTGATGTTTGAGGACCAGATAATTCCGAACTGGTAGGATTTCCTGTGATGAGGTTCATATTTGGTCCAGTCCATGTAGACGAGCCACCAGACTGTGTAAAGGACATTGGTGAGGAAACCATATTAACTCCCGGTAGAATCATATTCGGAGAGCAAGTGACTAGAATTTCATAAGACATACAAAGTAATTTGCATCTTAACAATCATATACAAAAATAAGTGTACGCTAAAATAAAGGCAAGAATAATAATTCATAATTGTTCTACACGACTGTGCCAAAATATTTCTACAATTTTGAGTTTTATTCGGATAAACTAAAACAACACATACACTAATTAGTACATGGAAAAATCTGTGAGAAAAATATTAAAACAGAACAGTTCCCTGCAAAACTTAAAATACAGTCGACAAAATTTATTTCATGACTATCGGATATAGATCAAACAGCAATACAATAGCTATTTTCCCGAAATCCATAGTTTACGCATGTGATAAATATTAAAAGAATTGGCTTCTCATCATCGCTCCTTAATTCCATACATCATCTACTACAGACAACTGCGCTGGTCAGCACAGGAATAAGTTGAAAGAAGTTAGGCGCAGTCAAACCAAAGCATGACATCATACTATGAAGTCGTTGCTTCTTCAACTAAATTATAACGAGAGCTACAAACTATCTGGTTGGGGTTCCCGGGATAATCGTGGACTCTGATTGGAGACCCTTGTTTCCATGATTCAAAATTGGTCAGAATATTGAGTAAGCCTTACTGCAAGTGTTTTTCCCAAAATTTCTTTCATGACTAGTTTTCACTACCACTGATATTAATATTACAACGATGATTTACGGACAATCGAGTTCGTTCCAAAGTGCGGAAACTTGGGTCAGTGTACATTTTTGACGGGTCTTATATTGGTTACAATTAAAAATAAACTGGTCTACCACATAAAACAATACATTACATAATAATTTTGTTTCTGACATAACTTGTTTCCCAAACAGCCCTACTTGGGACCTCATCTATATTTAAAATAGATACGGCTTTAGGTGAATGAAAACTGCCTTACAAGGTTGATACTAGACTTGAAAATACATTAAACAAGAAACCCAGTGGCCTTTACGGTGCTCTTCTTTGGAAAAACAACTGGAGACATGGAATGGTTACTATCCTATTTTGCTAAACACAAAACATCTACTGTAAAACTCCACAGAATTTTCGTATAGTTTTCTACGTAACTAGATAGTAGACGAGATCAAAACGGCCATGGTATTATTAGGCAACACCACAAACGAGATTATGATAAAGTTGGATGCTTTTACTTATTGAGCCTTAAAAGACGTTTGACATCGCGACTTGTCAACGAATCAAACTTTTTCATCTTAGGTAGCAGATGATCTTTTTTATTTCTAAACGTCTTCGGTTAAAAATATTCGGTAATAACGGTACATATTTAACTTTATTTATAGGGCTGAAATAAATACTAGTTTAAAGTACTTGAAAATATAGATTGATTATTGGTGTTCATTTTTACTACTCCATTACATATCTCATGTGAGCTTCAGTTGGTCAATCACAACGTAATATCTGAGAAAAGTGTCTATTAGGAAAAGCTGCCAGATTTCACATTATCACAGTGGAAGATACCCTAGGAAAACCGAAATCGTTTTAGTCATATATATTACGACATGGGATCACTAACAAAGGCTTGTGCGCATCTATATTTAAACATAATGATACCTCAATACGCTATATATTTCTGTGTTCAAGGTCAAGCACTTATGACATAAACTAAACCGAAAATTTATTGTAAGTTGCAAGAGGATTTCACATCAGTTCTGATGTGAAAACCGTGAGACAATGCTTTCAGTATCATAGTATGGTTACTGAATCACTTCATTTAGTATGATTGAAGATGGCTGGTTACCCCAAAATGTCTGTATAGTGGAACAATTTTGTTAAATTCACACATCAACATACTATATAAGACTTACTACTGTGACGAAGTGTATCCTGAAAAATCATATTGTATTTCTAGGGGGTTTATAAAACCTCTTATAATAAAAGTAATAGGAACCAGAGAGTAAATAGGAAGATCAGACTGCTCATTCTTAACCATTAAATCTCAGCTTCCAATACAGACTGAACTTTTTCATGGTCGCTATAATGGTTTGTCAACTACTAAAGTATAGGAAGGTCTGTCACATTTATAGCTTAAGTTTATATAACGTTGATAATCTCAGATGATAAGACACCTTAACGTGACAAAATTTGGTCTGACATTCAAATATAACAACAGTAAGTGAATATTACCTAGCGATAAACTTGTGGGTTGCGTTTGGTTACTGTGATATACAGGAGTCTGAGACGCCCCTATATTCGCGTTGCCCAAACTATTTGGACCAGAACTACTGGAGACTGATGGAGTAGACGAACCAACTATTGAAGCTGCGGCAGCAGCAGTATCCAACAAAGCATCCCAAAGTGACTGGCGAAAATTTCCAGCATCATCAATATGACCCAAGTATCCACGCCGGATCTCTTCTTTATTTGGGTATGGTCTTCTAGGGTCTCCTTGAGTCCAGTTGTCTGGGGCTATTACGCCATGAGTAGCACTAATCCTGTGGGAAAATCTAACGAGCTCTTCCATATCAATCGGATTTTTAACAGCAGTAGTCATTGAGTCCAACTTCTGTCTGGAATAGTATAAAGCAGTGCTCTACTAAATATGCACAAGCAAAGAATAGAAGACTAACCAAAATAACTTCAGTCTTTTTTAAATGAAGCTGACATGACTGGATCTGCTTGTCGGATTTCGAACAATCCGCCTTAAGGAGATCGATCTTTTTCTGTATTTCGTTGTAAACTTCGACTAAACGATGGAATTAGTATCACATGCTGCAAAACTTAATGAAATACTTTCTTTGT